TTCTTTCTTTCTTTCTTTCTTTCTTTCTTTCTTTCTTTCTTTCTTTCTTTCTACCTGAACGTATTGACATGGTATGGATTTGGCTGTGTTCTGAATCAATACTAATTTACTTCAGTCTTTGCAAAAACTTTTCTGAAAACAAGAAAGGCATTTACATCTATGGAGCTTATTATATTTGTATTTGACGATATTGGCAACTATACAAAATAAGGAAAAATGGTTAAAAGTCACAAAGTCTGTCATTTGATTACCGACCCGATTTTAACAAGAGCATCAATTAATGGTGCAAAATTGGCAAATAAGTCAGTGAGTTAACTTCCTAATAAACATAACATATGCATAGTAACTTTATTTGCTGTTTTTAGCCTGATGAATATTCAACGTGAATATAAAAGTCATTTCTTTAGAATCAAAACCTCTGCTTGTTTGTGGTATAAATTGTGTCATTTTCTTTTTAGAATTACGGTCTAATTTGCTGAATACACCTTGAATCCATTCTGTGAGGCATTCAATTCTTTCAAAATACTTTTCAAAATATAAGCCTGTTAAAAAATAAGTCAAGATTACATTCTGAAATAAGGTGATAATTGAAGTAAAAAAGGAAACAGTGTTACAATGTAATACACTTATAAAATATATTATATTCTTTTCCAGTTAATGTTTATTCAAAGCCAGCTCATGCTGCTAACACATAGTAAGAGTACTTCTAGTATGAATTCGTCTTTTTGTGTGAATTTAGTTTTACTTGCTTAAAGGTCAACTTTATTAACTGTGCTTTCTAAATATATCCTAAGTGGAAGGGTGGTGTCAAAACACTTACAGAGGAAGACTGTTTCTTTGGTGTGATAACATAAAGGCAGGAGCATGTCTACCGTGGCGCAGTCATTTGCCCCTCTTCTCCCAGTGGCTTCCTTCTTACTCTGTTACCAGGCAAGCTGGCTTCCAATGATGGCACTGACAGTTCATCTGCCTTAGGATTTTTTATTGACATCAAATAATGGGAGCAACAATAAAAGAGTCAGCATGAAGAGAATGAACTTAGAGAACACTTTCTCTGGCACACTGTTTGTTGAGTTTCCTACTGAAGCAGATAGGCCTTGGGAGAAGAGTTTCCCTCAGGTTCACAATTCGAAGCAATCGCTACCTCCTTTTTCTTTAATGTTTCATGTAATGAACACTCCCAGCTGCTAATTCCAAGGAGCCACAACATAGCCATTGCTTCTAATTACAGTTAGAATTTTAAAAAGAACAAAGATTAAAAACTCTGTGTTTTTAGGATGACTGCCTAAATAAATAATACATTGTATAATTTCTAGTGTTGGATAAAGAACTCATCTGTATCTTTTAATAAGGAAATCAGATTCAGGCTTCTCTAATGATTAGGTAGATTAGCTGACAGTCTGTAAGAAGTACAGCAAAGTGCAATTTGCTTTTATTATCTAAATTCAGTTCTTAAATGAAGCAAGGCCTTGGACAGGAACAAATAGATGAAAGGAATATTGACTTGTAATTTACCTACAAGGCCCAATATATACATCAGGTGCAATCATGAAGGAGTACTTCAAGTTCTTACCACAATGCTATTATAATTCTTTTTGTTGCTTCTTGGCACATTTGAATGTTCTGTGGACAGGGAAATTTGTCAGCCAAGTGTGTATACCATGTGCCAAAGATCTGTTCTCTAGCTCCACCTTTAATATCACCTTATTAAATGATTGTCATGCGTTCCTTAATTTGTCTACATTAGAGCCCATGGGAGTTGAGATTAAGACCTCCAATCTGCAGTTGAGAAGGACTTTGGAAACTAACCATAAGCCAGTTCAACCCTAATATCCACCTCGATCCTCAAGTGCCCACATCTATGAGTCTGGTTGTAGTCAGCTAGTAGGCTACTGCTCCCTTTCCACAGACACATGGGTCTTCACCAAGGATACAAGTCAATAGACAGTGACAATTAAGGAGATTATACTTTAAGTGCATCTTGCTCATTATCAAATGTAACAATTTTTCTCTCTGGACTTTTGCACCTTAGAATAAAGTAATATGGACCTAAGAGGGGCCGAGTTGCCTGTGCGCAACACAATACTAGCAAAGACAAGATGAAAATTTAAAGCTCTGGGT